ACAGGGACGCTCCCTATCCAACACTTGGCATCAAAACCATCGCGGAGAAAAAAAGGTGCCAAAAAGAGATGCGCCGACCGAGGTTCGAACTCGGGTCTCTCGCTTGCCGCTCAAAGTATGGGAGGCGAACATCGTACCGCTTGACCATCGGCGCTTCTTGTTATATAGTGGAGCAACTTTTGAAAATAAGTAGCACATTTCATATAATTCAGCTCGACATTCTGCGCCCATCCTGCCCTGGAATCTCCAGATTTTCATTGATAGACACCTGGGTGTATGCCTCTTGGATATGAAACGTCATTACGAACATATATGCATCACTGGTATGATGGTTGCGGCGTGCCAGGAACTGGTTACGGCAGACTTCTGTTTTGTGGACCGCGGCCCGGGCCGAGTGCATACAAGAAGCACACTACGTACCTTGGGCTTAGGGCACCGAGGGACAAGGGAAGATGCTGAGGGATAGAGTTGCTAAAGGATATTGCATTGGTCTCTCATTGATCTAGTGGAGCAAAAAAAAAAAAATAATAATGGAACCAGGGCCGACTGTAGGTAATTCAGATTGTGGAAGTGCCTAGCTACTTTACCTAAGTTAAGGTGCCTTAGTGCATTAGTTTAGGTACCTCGCCTTATCGAGATGAACTCGGCTCCCCTCCATCCTGATGCAACCTCATCAGTGTCATTGATTCTTGCATAGATCATGACTCTGCCCGACCTATGTCGGCATGTCCTTGCCTCATTTGGTATGCAATCTTCTATTTGCGGATATCGATGGCAATAGCTGAGCGAGATATGCTAAGCCGCAAGGATCAATTATCTGGGGCCATCTTGTGCAATGTCAGCACCGACCTACCGAACCTGCTTTTATTCTTAGGCGCTTACCACATCTCCCTGCGCCATGCAGCCAGTTCTCACCTGGACACACAACAGCCAATGCTCTTTTTATCCCACCATATCCATCTGACCTCGCCTCGCCTCTAGTACACGATTCCAGAGCCTCCTGCCTTAGGTTGTTAATCTCCTCGGATGAAGCATTTGGTGATCACCTGGCGCCCGCTTTCCGATGAGATTAGAAGAACCAGTGCTGAACAAACCAAAGAACTGTGGAGACACATAGGTCTCTGGATATCAATCAACAATGGACAGAAGAGATGGCGAGGCTGTGATCATGAATGTCGCCGGGCGCCACGAGGCTGCCACATCATTTTTGCAGCCACCAATATCATCGCAACAGCAAACCATTGGAGGAGAACCTGCACTTGCAGGCGGTGGCCTTGGTTGGCTACCTACCCTAGGCACTTTCAAAGTGGAGGCAGAGGTCCATGTGAGCACCTGACAGCTTGACGAGATCTTTCCTCTCAGGGCTGGAGCTTCCTCTTTCAAGTATTTCCGCTTGAGAAAATGACAAATTGGTACCTAGTTCCCCTGCCAAACCTGAGAATTTTCTTCGGACCATGGACCAAAAAAGACTCACCCATGAGGCCTACACTGTGGGGTGGGTGTGCGTACTGAATGTGAACTAAATGCCTCATGGGCCTTGCTGGACAAGGAACATGAAAGGCTCCCAGCTGCTGAGAATGATGACAATGTGTACCTTCTCGGGGAAATGAGCGGGCATAACGTTGCCATTGCATTTCCGGCCGTGTACGGAGTGGGAGCTGCGGCACGAACAGCCACCAATATGATCCGCACCTTCCACAAGATTCGTTTTGGATTGATGGTAGGGATTGGAGGTGCAGCCCCAAACTCCTCTCGCTTTGGAAGGCCTTCTGAAGATATCCGACTGGGTGACGTGGTTGTGAGCGAACCCAAGGGAGATCAAGGTGAGATATCATCGTTGCGGACTCAATAATTTCTGACCAGATGGTTTACCCTACCAGGCGGCGTGGTTCGTTATGACATGGGTCAGCGGAAGGCCGATGGGAAGCTTCACAAGAGGTCCCACCTGAATAAACCGCCGACGATACTGCTGAATGCGATGAAGCTGTTAAGGTCGGATCATCCCTTCGGTAGAGGAGAGATGAATCGTTACATCGCGTACTTTGCCCAGCTTTCCGAAAGATTAGAGGTTTTTCAAGCCTACCGACATCCGGGAAGGAATAATGATTTCCTATACCAAGTCGATTACGACCACAAGGATGGAGAGGACTGCAGGAATTGCGATGCGAATTTGGCTGAAACCCGAGCCGCTAGGAAATCCGATGCGCCCGTAGTACACTATGGGCTGATCGCATCTGGGAATGCAGTCATAAAGGATCCTAGGTATAGAGACGAACTGCGTAGAGCCTGGGACGTCACATGTTTTGAGATGGAAGCTGCAGGACTGATGGATAACTTCCCGTGCTTGGTTATCCGAGGGATCAGCGACTACTGCGACACGCACAAACAAAAACGATATCTGGCAGCCGTATGCGGCAGTGACAGCTGCCGCATATGCCAAAGACCTGCTTCGTGTGATTCTCCCACAGGAAGTTCATGCAGCCAAAGTCGTGGGAACGAAAGAAGGTTAGCTGGTGCGCCCTGCCAAAGTGCTACGGTCCCTAGAATCTACTTAGGGAGTTGACTGACAATGGATATAGTGTTGGACGCGCTATCACGAATCCAGACGGGCATATCCAGCATCAAGTCATCAATAACTGTCGCCCAGGAAAGCGAGCTGCTCGTCTGGCTTTCGTCTAAGGACTATGGCCCTGAACAGACAGACACCCTCAGCCAGCGTCAAGAGGGGAAGGGAACATGGCTGCTGGAAATAACCGAATTTCAAAATTGGGAGAGTGAGAGCAACAAGACTATCTACTGCAGAGGTATTCCTGGCGCGGGAAAGACTGTCATGACGGCGGTGGTAGTCGACCATCTGCGGTCAACATTCCAGGACAACCCTGCGGTGGGTATTGCGTGCATATATTGTAGCGCTCAAAATAAAACAGAACAAAGCTGCAATGGTATCTTTCTGAGCCTCCTGAGACAACTAACCAGACAATTATCGTACACTCCCGAGATGGTTAAGAGGATGTACGATCGACATACTCGAGCTGGCGACCGACCGAGCTTTCATGAAACAGTGGATGCTCTACAGGACACAATATCCCGTTTCCGCAGGACTTTTATAGTGGTCGACGCGCTGGACGAGTTGGTGAACTCCACAAGTTCTCCGAAGCAGCTGATTAGAGAAATATCCGCTCTACAAGAGAAATCCAGAGTAAACGTCTTTGCTACTTCTCGACTTGTCCCTGAGATTTCCGGCGAATTCAAGCAAAGCACCCTGGTCGATATTCGGGCGACAGAGGAGGACGTTGCACGGTTCTTGGACTCACACATTAAAGAGTTGCCGGCCTTCGTCGCCGAAACTCCGGGATTGGAGAGTGAAATAAAGACCGGTATCATTTCGACCACTGATGGAATGTTGGTGTGCCATGAACGGGTCTTTTATGGCAAAGAAGTTAACGGGGCATATAGGTTTCTCCTGGCGAAGCTCCACTTGACCTTATTCCGGAGCAAAGTATCCATAAGCGACGTGAAGGGCACGATCAAAAACCTTTCGAGAGGCTTTGACGGCTACGATAAACTGTATTTGGAAACCATGAACAACGTCCAAAGTCAAAACCAGGGATTGCGTGAACTTGCTATAAAAGCCCTCTCCTGGATTTGCTGCAGTCGAAGACTCCTACTCGCTGCAGAGCTCCGCATGCGTTAGCAGTAAAGGATAAGCATGCCAATTTTGATAAAACGGAGATTCCAGATATGCGCCTTATTGTGAGCGTCTGCAAAGGCCTGGTCATCGTGGATGAGGAGCGAGGCACAATCCGTCTAGTCTACTACACAACACAGCAATATTTTGAACGGACATGGGAGCAGTGGTTTCCTGATGCATACGAGAGCATCGCTAGAGCCAGTATCCGATATTTAACATTTGATACATTCCAAAGTGGCCGATGTCCGACAGGCAGGGAATTCAAGGACCGTCTGACCATATATGTGCTGTATGACTACGCGGCGCGGAATTGGGGATATCATGTAAGCGCGGCATTGCTTGAGGAGACATTCCTGGTAATTAAATTTCTGGAGGACGAGAAACGCTTATCTGGCTCGGCCCAAGCCATGTTTGCTGAACGGAGCCAAGCGGGCAGTGAGCGTAGTCCTCGAGGAATGACAGGACTCCACGTTGCTGCGTATTTCGGGCTCGAGAAGACAGCGAGACTCCTGCTTCACAAGCTTCAACCAGACGTGAGGGATAGTTCTGGCCGGACACCTCTATCTTGGGCATCTGCGAATGGACATACTGCTGTTGCGGAGGCCTTACTTGAAAGTGGTCTGGTTGATCCAGAAAATCAGGATGATGAGGAGCAAACCCCTTTGTCTCTGGCTGCAAGTAATGGGCATGGCAAGATTGTGGACCTTCTCATGCGTTTCGGAGCTGACTACAACCATAAAGATATTATAAGACAGACCCCTCTGTGTGCAGCGGCACTGAATGGGGACGAAGAAGTTATGCGAGCCTTCCTACTCCATAAAGTCGATGTCCACTGCAAGAATGGCAACAGAGTATCTCCGCTCGAATTAGCATCAGGAAGGGGACACGTTGGAATTGTGGAGTTACTTTTAAATCACAGCGCCCCGCCAGCAATTGGAAATAGGAATATAGCACTTTTTTGGGCAGCCTCAGGAGGCTGTGCCACGGTGGTGAAGCTCCTCCTAAAACATGGTGCTGATGCAGATTACTACGATGGAGATGACGGCACACCACTGTTATATGCGGCAAAAAAAGGCCATGAAGAAGTTGTCTCTATCTTTATCAGTCGCCGAAACGTCAACCCAAATGCTGAAAATGCCGAGGGGCAGACTGCCTTATTACTAGCTGCCCGAAATGGACACGAGATTACAGTGCGCCTCCTGCTTGCTGATAGTCGGGTGAACCCTAACCACAGGGATAAGGAGGGACGCAGTTCTCTCTTACTTGCCGCAGTGGGGGGAAACGCATCAGTAGTGGAGCTCCTTCTGAAAACTTCCGGTGTTGACGCTAACTGCAGGAACTTTGCTGGTCAAAGCCCCTTGTCTCTTGCAGCACAGCTAGGTAGTGTCGAGGTTGTCAGACGGTTACTTGAGAGAGGTACAGTTGACCCGGAACCGCAAGAGCTACAAAGCGGCAATACACCG